GAGGGAGAGAGGGAGAGAGGGAGAGAGAGGTGGGGGGGTGAACCCCAAGCTACTACCACAAGGGTGCAGTGGTGGAGCGGTTAGTGCGCTCGTCTCCGAAGCGGAACTCCGGGTTCGAGCCTCGGTTCGGACACTGAGTTTTTTCGCCCCGTCCTGCCCACCCAGCAGTCGGGTAGGCCTACCTGACTTCGAGTTGGAGAAGTAAAGGCAGCGTGGAAAGGAACTGGCCACCCTACCACAATATGCCGAAGGCCCAGGAAGTTGTCTCACTAACAAGGCAATTCCCCAATGTCCGGATCGGATGCGAGAACAACGTTACTTTACTTTAGGCCCAGGAAATTGTCTCACTAACAAGGCAATCCCCAATGTCCGGACCGGATGCGGGAACAACTTTACCACGAAAGAACGGAAACTGTGCTGCATAGTGGAGTTCTCATGAGATTAAGATTACATCTGTCACTTACATCTACTTGACCGGGGTCTGCGGTGTAGCGGTTAGGCTCTTCGCTGTCACACGCAGGAAGGGAGACCCGAGTTCGATCCCGAGTGGAGAAAAAAGTGTCCGAGAAAGTCCGCGCATAGGTTCAGATGGCTCTGCAGTCTTTGTTTTGAAGCTCTCTTTTGATTCCCCTGCAGAATAATAATTGGAATAGCACAGTTTGTTAGGCTCACTTTTATTGTTTTTCCCACAAGTGGGGTAACTCTGTTCGCAAACTCTTCGCTATTGAGGGCGCCATCGGATTTTGAGGACACTTTTTTGAATGACTCGTTATCTGCAATTATCATTAATCACAAATCCTTGACATACGTCTATATTCCCTACATTTCTATCTGTAACATTAACTCGGTTCAATGATTATGAAAGTAATACACTATTTGACACTATCATACACACATTTTTCTACTAATCAGATGGCGTCAATTTCAAAGAAATGGGCAAGGGACAAATAAACTAAGAGTAACCATGTTCTTCTAGACAGGTACATCTCCTCCAGGTAGCTCTCATTGCTACATCAACATCTCTGGCCGCTTAGAGGTCACCTTCGCTCCTTGTTACAGATTTTGTGTCAGTCGATACTTCGCATTTCTTTTACGAAAACTTCTTTTTCTAGTTTGTTTTGTTTGGGTTTTATGTGTTTTGTGTGTGCTTTGGCCAAGACTCTTTTGTAAGAAGCGGTGCTCAAACATTTACATGCGAACCACTTTCAATGCATCATCATTCAGGGGTAGAAATTAGTGCCACTTTTATCGAGTGTACTTCATAAATTAATGGGTGAACAAAATTGAAAAACGAAAATAAAATCCTGGCAAAGGTTGAAGGCAAAAACAAGTAACAACAGCAGGCAGCCTCATAAGACGCTGAGTACAATCTTTAAGAGTCCTCACTGAAAGAAAGTAGAACTTTGAGAAACGTAAATATGGAAACTTGTTCAACCTGCACTGACACTGATGGCAGTCAAGTTAATGAATAATTCCGTCGTGGGGGAGGGGGGGGGGTAATTACACGACGCAAAACAAGATCAAAAGAAGACAGACCACAACGATTTGTTAAATTGGCGCACCTTTGACGTAACGTAATGACATACCTGCCATTGAAAGTGTTATAATTAAGGCACTGTCTTAGCTAACAGAGGTCAGGGCTTTACATTTGGCATATAAAACAGTTTATGTTTGCGTAAATGTGTTTTATGGGAATTCTCCCCCTTCTTACGACGAAGGAGAAAATAGTGGGTGAGGAAGAAGGGTCAGGTTGTTTTTTTAGTACTTTTGCCCAGGTCTTATACTCGAAATCTGTGAAATCATTTTGTTCGGAATTCGGCAGAAAAAAATCTATCTCATTATAGTATAGAAGAAAAATAAAAGCCAAACGGAAGGTGACCTGGTTAATGGACTGTTGGGTACTTATTCCTTTAGCTGATCAGAAACATTCAGCGTACCGGTCGTCTCAAATAGTCGTTAAAAGCTCATGGTGGAGTGAAGAAAGCCGTCGTTTCTCGGTTTTGTTTTATTTGTTTTTGGTTTTGGTTTTTTTAGTCTTAATTCAAAAGTAATTGGAAAAGTCAACTTATTGCATGTAAACTGGTTATATGAAAGTACTGGAAATGCCGCTAAGGGTCAAGGTGAAAATTAGTCATGAACTTTCTATTTTAAGCCCGTCGATTAAAAAAAAAACTACCTGAACCTTAAGGTCGTTTAAAGTTTGAAATTAAGAAGATTTCTACGAGCTCGCAGAAGCAAAGGTTATCTATAACAGTAAGAAAAACACGTTAGCGGTATTGGTTTGACCTTTCACCCTGTTCTATTGAATGAAAGCTGCTGTCAAAGAGCGTTAACCCAGCATCGATCTGGTCCCCGGGGATGTGTGGCTTTATTAAATACTTTGATTGCAATCACCCTGACAGGTCACTGACTTAATTGTAAATCGATGGCACGGGGATTGATTTTGGAGACAAGAAGTAGTATGGTTCTAAAAATAGAGGTACGTTGTTCAGTACTTGCGTTGCATGTGACTGCTGTTACTACTTCTCTTCGACGTGTTTCTGTTGCTGCCCTGAGGATTTTACCTTCAAAAAGTGGAGAATGCTCATGATTATTTAACCTTTGTTTTTATATTATTATTTGTAGATATTGTTGAAGACAAGAGTTAGAGCACTGTACACACGTGCATGAGGATGTGTTTGTACGTGAGTGCCCGAGTGTGCATTTCTGAATATATAGATATGTGTGTGACACGACAGCTCGAAATTAGGCGCACGACAATTTCATTTATAAGATATATAAATGATCATTATCTCTATCTGTACGCCCTGGGGTCATTTTGTACCCCTGGGGTTGTATTCTTCACGTTTTAGAATACTTCTAGTACGAGGATCTCTTTGAAACTTTCAGAAATTCTCAAAAAAATCATTATGACTAACTGCTATGCAAAGCGTGCGGATCGGATTAACGAGTAAAATTCCTCTTTGGAAAGTGATGGCACAGAGTTCCCCACGTCGTAAGGATACGATATTAAAACACGACGTACGGATAGGGCTAAATGAACAAAAATATGATATCATAAAAACAGTCTGTCTTCTTTCAACCCCTGCTTTTTGCTCTCCCTCTTCCTCTCTTTCTTTAAACCTCAGCTTTTCTCCTCTAAGCTGAACGCCTTTCATTTTGCACCCTAAGGTGCCATTTTGCTTGGCCTGTGCGTGTATATGAAGAGATTATGAGAGTAAGTGAGTAGAATGTGTATTTCTGTGCGCGTGCATGCAGGTACGTGCGTGCGTGCGTGCGTGTGTGTGTGTGTGTGTGTGTGTGTGTGTGTGTGT